TCTTCGCTCCTTTTCAGTGAAGTTTCTTCCCCTTATTGACTGCGACATTTCAGCATATAGCTATTCTAGGGCACGGTATTTCTTCATTTCTTAACTTTGCAGTGAAAGCTCAATCTTTGTGTCAGCCCTTCACTTGTTCCCTTCAAACACTTGTTCAACTGGAAGATATTTTTGTCTGATCATCATTAGGTGGGCAGATTTTTCTATTCCTACTAAGCCTCCAACTCTCTGAGGCTGGGGCCTTGCCTGGGAGGGGGGTCTTGTAAAGCTTCCATCTTTGCTGTGCCTCACTGAGCTCTTTCTGTCCGAAACCCGGGAACTAAGAGGTCCACTGGAAGACAGTTGTAAAAACTTGCATTCTGAATAAGTGAATCAACAGTATTTAGAATCCTCAGCACAAGGTAAATCTCATCACATCCTTCAAATTTTCTCCTCCCTTGAGGCTGTCCTGGAATCTTGCATCCATTCTTGTTTTCCCTTCACCCACCTCCACTGGCTTGTTCATATTTACCAACTCCAAGCCAAGAGATGGTGCTTGCTTTTTCACCTCAATCTAATACTTTTAATGGCCCAAACCCTACTGGGAGAGGCACTTGAGAAAAATAGAGCAGGCAATACTTAAGGGATCATTGGCAACGAGACACCTGCTACACTCTCATTGGAGTCACATCAACACCGACAATTGCCTTTAGCAATTAGAGATCCAAGACACTAAGGTTTTCCTACAACGCGCTGCTGATAGTTGTGGAACCCAACAGAATCCATTTCTTATAACGAAGACGAGTTTCAAGGTTTGATTGGCCTTTTTTTAAAGAGATTTTGTAGAATTGTTTTTAATGAAGGGCTCTGAATGGACACCCCCACCCCCACCCCCCAATCCTTTCCTGTCTGGTTCACAAGGAGTCTCAGAATAGTCCTGGAAGGTGGCCCGTATGATAGAAAGGACTTCGGATTTCAGAACTCAGAACGTTTTTAACTTATTTTTGTTCAGTGACAAACGCAGACAGATGCTCATGGCTCCATCCAGCATTCTTAGCATTCACCTGTAGTTGAACAACACTGGGTAGCCGGTGTTCAAAGTGAAGGACATTTAATAAATCCAGGCAAAGGAGATTGTGTATAGGACTCGTTCTTAGTGAATTTTCATGTTCATCTTCTCAAAAGATGTCTTCTTTGTGCTTTCAAATAAAGAATGGGCTTGGGAGAACATAAAAAATCAGAGGAAATATTCAGATTTTGGGAAAAACAGTTTTACTGGCGACTCTCATTTTTTAAGGCAGCTGTATAACCTTTAATTCACACAAACACCCACATATCTTTTAAAACCTGCTTTCTCACCACTCTGACAGTTAGAATTTTATCTCTTCACTGTTAAGATTTCTCTAGAGAGTACAATACTGCATCATTTTGACAAACTTGAATGCAAAGAGATGAATGCTCCTCATCTCTGAAACACTTCAGGGTAAGTTGCTTTAACCAGTTTCCTGTTTTCAGAGGCTATTTTTCTGTCATCCCTTCAGATCTATCAAAGTTCACTTAATTCTTTTAACAGCCATATTTTATAAAAAGTGGAATTCTCTTCTCACTAGTACTTGTAGCTCTGAGGTCTGGAGCCGTACTGACTACTGCTATTATCTCAAGGGCCAGATGCACTGAGATGAAAGAAGAAGACCAGTGTGTACAAAGGACCCGTCCCAGCCACACTCTACCTGAGAACTTCTACTCACCCCACTTTCTTCTTGCTTTCTGGAAATCCCCCTTGCCTGAGGTGCACAGATTGCCAGCAGGGCGGGATGGAACATCTTTATGTTATAGTCAGCATTGAAGCTATTTTGCTGAGGGGACATGGATAGATGTGGAGAAAAACCCAGAATATTAATTGAAAACCAATTATTCCTAGCAGCTGAAAGCTCCCTTCTTTGGCAGTTTGAGAACAGCTTTTTAAATAATAGTGTAGAAAATGTATCATTCAGAAAATTCAATTCACTAAAGTAGAGAAATGGTAAATGAAATACAGTACCCTCTTAGACTAGATCAGGGGTTGATACACTACAGTCTGCAGGCCAGAGATGGCCCCTTGCCTGTTTTTGAATGGCTTATGAGTTACAAATGCTTTCCCCAATTTTTTAAAAGGTTAAAAAACCTCAGAATAATAACATTTCTATGGCTTGAAAATGAAATAAAATGCAAATTTCAGTGCCTATAATAAAGTTTTATTGGAACACAGTCACATCTACCTGTTGTTTTTGAGTGCTTTTGTGCTATAGCAGAGCTAAATACTTGCTGGGTCAATAGTTGTGATAGACCAGACGGCTCTCAAAGCCTAAAATATTTACTACCCACCTTTGACAAAATGTGCTGACGAGTAGGCTAGATTACTGTATGACAGTTAAACTGATGCCACTTAAATATAAATATTTAATTATAAGAGAAATGTTTGTGGTAAAATATTTAGTAAAACAATCATGACAAATTGTATATATGAGATAGTCTCAAATAGTTTATTTTCCTTTACGCTGGTGGAAATGTAAATGCCAAGAAAATAAATATAAATTGACATTCATTTATTAATTTAGTCAGGTTCAGTTTCTAGAACAATGCTTGGCACATAGTAGATGCTCGATAAACAAATGAAGGCAGTCAAAAACTGATAAATTGTGTGATTGAATAATAATATATAATAATAGTTATAGCAAACGCTTTCTGGAATATGCATACATGTTAGGACTTCAAATGCATGAGCCCATTTAATCCTAAAAGCCAGTTAGGGAAGGTACCTTCTCGCCCCCATTTTACAGAAGCTGAAAGCAAGGCTTAGAGAGGGTGTTTAACTTGTCTAATGTTACAAAGCTACGAAGTAACGTGACCAGAGTTCAAAAGAGCCTAAGCTCTCACCATAAGCTCTACTTCTTAAATTTCTAAAAACAATGGACATTTTTAGGTGAGAAAGAAAGGGATGGGAAATTCCAGAAGTCAGTATATAAGTCACAGAACCAATTACTAGAATAGGAGCTTATAGATGATTTTTGTTTTCTTAGCTTTACACGCTAATGTTTTTCCACATTTCCTAAAATGAGTAGATTTGGTTTTAATTGCCTTAAAAATAAGAAAAGAATGTTTCTAAAGGAGAGGAAAAACAGCCCAAAAGGTTAACTGTTTCAGTTGTTTCTGTAGATCATTTCCCTGCTTCTCTGCAGACCTCATGTCGGTCTGTCTCCTGTACTGATTTGTGTTGTTGAGTTTCAGGATTAGGTTTCAACTCCCTCTGAATTTTCCTACCTATGAGGATCTCAAGTGCTGTCTGCATATAACTTTAGTCCAGAGACACCAATGGGTAGAACTCCTCAGTGTTTGTCTTTACAAGTCTGAAGTACCATGTCTTTGCAAGTTATGTTGGGTCTTCTACCCACTGTATTACATTGGTCTCTACATGTAGTCTCCCACTCAAGATGGACTGCTTTTACCTGGACTTTACTATCATTATTTGTTACACTGGCATTGTATTTGGAGTCCACTCATTAAAAATTATATTTATCTTATTCTAAGAAGACAATTAGATTTCAGCAGCCCCAAAACCGTTTAGAAAAGTCAAAGGAAATTAAAAAGGGAGATAGTGTTAAAAACGAAGTTCTTTAGTTTAGATCTGTGGTCTCTCTCTCTCTCTCTCTCTCTCTCTCTCTCTCTCCCTCTCTCTCTCTCTCTCTTTGCTTAATTGTGTGTTGGTGACTGTGGCATACTTTTCAGAATCTAAAGGACTTTTTACATGCCCAGGCCTAAATTACAAGGCTAAAAGGAGCTGGATTTTTCTTTTGAATAAAACTGGAAAGCAGATGATCCAAAGGATCGAGTGAATGCTACTAATATTATTGAGGTCACTGTAACAGAGAATTCAAGAAGACAACTCTTTCTCATAGTAAAGCCCAGACATAGGTAAGAGCTCTACAAAAGGCAAACCAGCAAGATGGTGAAATAAATGTCTTTGACCAAAGGAATACAGTCATAGATTGAGAACCTCTTAGGTTATTTAAAAGTGCTTTTAAAAATTCCTGTGATGTGTCTTAGACATTCCAGTCATAATTTCAGAGGCTTCTGTTGTCCAGGCCTGTTAAGAATGAGTTAAGTAGGCTTTTCCAGATCGTTGTGACTTTTTTCCCCCCACAAGCATCATTTTGATTTTTAACTTCCAAGTGAAGCCGCCTAACATCATCTCTCAGTGACTTTATTTGGCAGAAATGGGGACTGGAAAAGGATGTCACTAGTTTTAAGCTTGAAGTATCATTTAATGGAACCTTAGTGATCATTCCTGTTTGTAATGACTTCACTTGGACTCATCATTCTTTATCTAATCTAGCAGTGAAATTTCTAAACTATCAGGGGTGAGACAAAAACAATTAGAGTGACAGATTTAAAAAAAATCATCTATGTGCACGCAGTTGTAGAAATGACATTTGTTCAAATGTACTTTGTGTGTGAGATTATGTGTGAATAAATGATCCATCACTAAGAGTGCTCCTGTTTCCATCAGAGAAGAAAAAAAGTTTCCATCTTGCTTCTTTTTTCTTTCTTTGGGGATTACAGTGACTAGTGTAAGCCGTGCAATTTCACTTTTAAATTTGTGACTTCTAAAAGTTCCTTTTCTGTGGCCTCAGAAAATCAGACAGTTGTTATTACAAATAGAGAGCAGCTCCACTTAGTTATTGAATACACAATTATAAATGCCTGGACTCTTTCCCTTTTCGTGGTGGCTGCTTTTAGATGGGGAATAAAACCACATTAACCAGAGGACATTGCTATTGGTGATTAGTGGCTTATTCCTGTGCTACATCAATAAAAGGTCTTGTTTCGAAAATCTTTCACTGTCTAACAGGGACTGTGAAATATCATGTAATCAAACTCTTGCATTTGGTAGGTGACAGGGTGAAGCTGTGAGGGACTGCCTAAAGACTCACACTGACTCATGCTAAACGTGCTAACGCGTGTTTGTTTTTTGGATTCTATAGATGGCCGCCCGTGCCCTCTCATTCTCTGGGACTCATCTTTATCTCCAGCAAGTAACGAGACCCACTCTTCTGTTAAGCTCACCTGGGGAACTTACCAACAGTCGTTGAAACAGAAGTGCTGGCAAAATGGTCGAGTACCCAAACCTGAATGGGGTTGTACTGAAATACATCACCATGAGTGGTCCAAGCTGGCACTCTTCGATTTTTTGTTACAGGTAGGTTTCTGAAATCAGATAAGTGGTTCTCTAAGACTGACACTGAGTTATGTAAGTCTAACACTAAGGAATTTTCTATACTTTGAATTTTGATGAAGCCAGAGTTTAAGTTCTATAATGCTATATTTGGCAAGTATAATACTACGTTGCAAAGTTTTATATTCTTTTGGGAAATATTCAGAAACACCCCTCAGCTCTTTTGTTAGTTTCTGAAGGAGTTCTCCTTCAGTACTTCAGTCTTGCAATTGTCATACTCATTGTAGATCCAATTTATTGAGGAAGCCCATCAACAACTCAAGGTGACTGGTCTTCCCCCATTTGTGGAGTAAACTGATGTTTCCTGAGGTTAAGGACCTCATCCACATTCTGATAACCTCTAAAAGCTGGAGCTGGGGTTCCCTGGGATCTGTTGATGGTAAAAATTTGACTTCCTTTCACACTGTATTTCCATCATTCCACATTGTGTTTCGTTGGTCACTACGCTTACAGCCACCATTTCTCTTGCTTTCTTTATAGTATTTTTTTCAAATATTTCATTAAGATTGGACATTGGAGAATAATAGAATAATAAATATTGACCATCTACATAATTGACACAGAATGTTACAGATTTTTTATAACCCGCTATCTCCTCTTGGCAAGGATCTCACAACTCTCTTCATTCCTTCATTCTGATTACTGCTTTTCTCTTCCTTCATCTTAGAAAAACCAGTTGACTGCTGTTGTTGCGTTGCTAATTAGTATTTTGTGAAAATGTAAGAGTGTCTTAGGACATTTGCAAAACTTCTTTCGGTGACTTGTGTGTGTGTGTGTGTGTGTGTGTGTGTGACATTGTGGGAAGGAACTAGAGACAGGTAAAAATGTAAGAAGGAAAACAGGTTAGTACAACAGCACAGACTTTCAAGGGATTAGGAACTTTCAAGGAGAGGATGATTTATAGTGTCAGTGTTGTAAAGCTACCAGTGAGAACTGAGCTAGAGAGCAGGCCATTTGGCAAAATTGCAGTCAAGAGTCACAAAAAAACTGCGGTAGAGTCCAACTACGAGGCTCAGACTGGTCTTAAGCATTGTATATGTATTAGCTCATTATTCCTTTTATTTAATATACTAACTGTGAGATAGTCATCTTCTCCCCATTTTATAGGTAAGTAAAAGGGAAAGTGAAGCATAAAGAGGTTATTATTGAGAACTGTGGAAAGTCTGAGAGCTTACCTTTCTGTAAACTAACAACTTAACCAGCCACATGTTCATAGATGTTAGCAGAGGACAAAAGACTCCTGGGCCAGAGGCCAACAGATGACTTCAATTCTCATGGTATAGCAAGTGGCATGAGCTTCATGTCCCTTTGCCCCTCAAGTCCCATTGTGATGATACAGAATGGCCCTGGTGACTGCTACCCGTAGTGGTTTGTTTCATTACAGAAGAATTCTAAGCTTAGGAAGCTCCTAATCTTATGAGAGGTTGCTAGCAAACCTGCCCAACATTTCCCCAGAAGCAGACATTATCTTTATCATCTTGGTCAGGAGATAAATCAGATCTGCTTGCCACATCAGTTGGAAACACTCTTTGTATCTTCCAAGGCTGTTTGCTATACTAATATCCTTGGAGAGACAGTGCAGAGCAAAATCTGATGTAAGACGTGTGGAAATGCCATGGAGAATTGTTTCTTAACAGTTACCTAACTTGTTTGATATTACATAACTAGTAAGTTCCTAAACTAGTTTTCAGCAGGTTTGGCTAATACTCGATTCCATATTTTTAATCATTATTGTATGGAAACTACCAGATTATCCTTAAGTGAATGAAGGGTGTTGGTGTAATAAAATGTATTAGCAATAAAGTGAGGAATGAGTGAAGATTTCTAGGGCTAAGTAGGTGAAGGCCGTGTGTTTGGAGTCTCAACAGTATAGAAGTTGAAGTTTCTGAGGGTGATGAGTAGAGGCAGGAGGGTGAAGAGATGATCCATGAACATGGCAGTGAAGTCTCTGAAAAAAGAATGACCCTAAGGCTTATAGCTGAGGAACATAAGAGCTACCCTACACGGAATTGAGGGCAAAACCTTTTACAAGTTATCTCTGGTGACATTTATGTTAATTCTGGAAACGTCAAGTAAATTGCTACCTACCTTCTGTCTTTGTCATTCTCCTCTCTATTGAGGGAAATCACAACTATCATTTAATCAATGGTGATGTGTTTATGCAGCATCTACTGAACATTATACTGTAGAAAACTAACACAGGGGTAGCAAAGTAGTAAAGATGGTTAACCCCCTTGCCCTAACCCAAGTTTAGTTTTATAAAAAATCACTTAGGAAAGTACAGTGTATGAAACAAAGAGAGATACATGTAAGAAGGGCTGGATGAAATAATATAAAAGTTCTTACTGGTATGAGGTTAAGGAGGGGAGAATAGTTTGCCATGAAACAGTAAAGAAGGAAGAGTTTGAGTAAGATCACAGGCTGTAAATGATAAAGAGGGTGAGCACAAATGTGAGGAAGGATATGGGGTTGGCAATTTTCATATGATATTTAGGGCATCCTAAATATACCATTTGTCTGAAACAGAGTCTTTTAGGGGAATAGTGATGGCTCCTGCCTATAAGTGATATGATAGATCATGGAGGAAGAGAGCTTTTTTCACAAGAGGTGTGTTCACATTGCAACTTCTGTTCATTACCTTGGCTAAGAATGAATTCCAGCTGAACCACAGTTCCCTGAGTATATCAGCAGCTTTAATCATTGTACCCATTGTCTATGACTTTGAGGATGAATGTAGACACATCTCTATTATAAGTTTTCAATGAAGATAAATATTTTAAGTCCTTAAACTAATACTATTAATAATCTAACAATCATATAACATTTGCTGTGCGCTTGGCACTGTTCTAAGCACTCTGTACTGAGCCCTAAGATATTAACTTATTTAATCCTCATAATGGTCCTATGAAGAAGTTTTTATTATTATTCATATTTTAGGTATGAGGAAATTAAGGCAAAGAGAAATTAAATAATTTGGCTAGAGTCACAACTGGTATCCAGTAGGATCTGGAGCTCAACTGAGGAGTTCTGGTTTGAGAGACAAACTTCTAAGCAATGCTTCCTCCTAATCATTTGATAAGTAGTGGCACCATCATTTTCCAATTTCCCAAGCCAAAAATATGGGGATCATTTATATGCCCCATGGTATTTACCCTCACATCCATACAATGACCCAGCCCATCTTCTTTCAGGAATGGCTTATGCTCCTGTTTTAGTTCAGGCTTTGTAATTTATTACCTGGATGACTCCTTTGAGTCCACTCAAGCTGTTTAAGCCAAGATCACCTTTGGCTTGAGATATTGAGAATCAGGCTGCTGTTATCTCTGCAGGAACTGATTCTGTTGGCAGGTCAGTTCTATTTGTAATCTGCCTTCTTGCTCTTTGTGCCTGGGGAAGGTTGTGGGGGTGTCTTTCACATTCTTGGTAATCCATGAGGATGTGTGTTGCAGAGATCACATCCTCTTTTTATTGGAGATTGGAGTTCCCAATTTTGGCTCTGGCTAAAGCATTGAATCTAAAACTCAGAAGTTAATTCGATTGTCAAGAGTTAATTTGATTGGCATCTACAAAAGTATTTCAAATTATATATATGAGGATGGCATCTATGAGAATAGAGTTTTTTTATTCATTCAACACTTACTTGCTTCCCACAGTGCAACAGACAAAACGCTAATTTCCTCCAGATGCTGCAGCATTTTACAATTTTACCAGTAAGGTATTATAATGTTTCCCTCTTTCTTGCCGATCTTGGGAAGTGGAGAACTAATTAATATTTTTGCTGATTTTATGGAGGGTAGCAAAGTCTTTTATATTTCCAGTTTTTTCATTATGAATGTGATTGAAGATATCATATTTTCAAATATTATCTATAGTCCATTTTTTTGTGAGTTGCATGTTTATATCATTGTCCTTTTTATTGTATTCCATAGCTTTTCCTTTTTGATTTATAAAAACATTTTGTATATCATGAAAATTAACCATTATCAATCCTATATATCTCAAATAGTTTTTTTACTTTGTTGATTTTCATTTGACTTTGTTCATAGTAGATGTCACTCAGAGAAATTGTATGTTTTTTGTAAGATTATATCTTAATTGATCTTTTTACTTCCTGTATTTAGCATCATACAATGTTTATAGAGAGATGCTTATTAAAAATGTTCGCTGAACAAATAATCGAATAAGTGAAAATGCGTAGGCCATTTTTCAGGAGTGCCATAATAGTTTTCTCTTATACAATAATCCTTCTCATCAGTTACACTGAAATGTTTACTTTAAAGTCAAATATATTCCTTATTTAAATGGTGATTGGGAATGTGTTGGGAGTGTATTGGGTGGGTTTTGTCAACAATCTTAGAAAAGTTCTGCCTGAAGTAAACTAAAATCATTTGTTCTATGATGCTACAGCAAGGCAAGAGAATACAGAACCCAGTTGTTAATTTTCTGTACACAATATTCTTTTTGTTTTACCCAATTAACAAATCTACATTCATAAAGGCTATGCCATTTTACTGTAAAATGTGATAGAGGCACAAGTAACCTTTTATTCTTGAAGCGTGGGGGTATGAACTGTAGAGACAAAAATTCACCTTCCTTAGGATGACAAAGAATAGTATTCTAGAGAGCATTTTAGTTTATAAGATTTGGGAAATTTCTATCAAAAGGTCATATAAAATAACAGGAAAAGATTTAGGATGTAGAAAACTTAGTTTTTGAGCTCAGAGATAATCTGTTAGGAACTGATATCCTGGAGCCAGCCTGCTAAATTTCAATCCTGATTTCCAATACTATTTTTTAACATTGATAAGTTACTTAACCTCTCTCTACCTTGGTTTCCTCAGGAATAATAATATTGTTTATAGAGAGAGCTATTGAGAGAATTCAGTACATTTACACACATGAAGAATTTAGAATAATGCCTGGTACATAATAGGTTCAGGGAATATTATATATTAAGAAATTGA